AATTAAAATAATAAACCGCTATCAAAACGAAAGAAAGTAGGGTAGATTTCCCTTCCTCCAACTTCCTAGTCACACAAAAGACCTCCATTCGGGTACCGGAAACACACAATCTCTTTTCTCCGCCAATACTTGCCATCTTCAAACTCTTTGTTAAAAGTACGCTATATATTCCCTCCTATGACGCCCAATGGATCATAGAATGGCTCATTGGTTTTTGGGGACACTTTGAAGCTCCCCTTTCTTAATCAGTGTAGTCAGGCGGGCGTTTGACAGTCGCTGCAACGTCTATCAAAAGATAATAAGTACTTTGAAATTAATCGGCAGTTTTGTTATGAAAAAGACCCTCGGAGCACTGTGTGGAGGGTGCCGAAGGTTACCCTCGAAGGTCGCTATCGCACAAAACTGTTGTTCGGATACTTGGCGCGCGCTTTTCCTGTTGCTGGTCGCTGCATGTGCGTATTTAAGCACTTCCCGGGGGGCGAGGATGTCATTCTACGTCAAACGCGACGACCGACATGCCCAACATGAGGCTGCTCCTTCTGCTCTCGCTCACGCTCAGCTGCAGCCTGGCGCGGAGCGTTGACTCAGGTGAGTTTGCCGACCTGACCCTGCCGCCCTTGCGGCTCGACCGGGTAGGCAACCCACCCACGTACATTGTAGTACCGACCGCCGCCGTCCAATGGTAAAAGGGACTCTTGGTTTCCAAGCAGAAGTGCTTGATTACTAAGCCCTTTTGTCTTGGAAATTACCACATTTGAGTGATAACCAAGCCGTCGTCACACGAAATGGGAATAAGCTAACCGTACGTCTCCGTGCACCCCACAGGCGTGGCCAGGTCAGGCGTCGGGATCGTCGGTCCGGGTTCGGTAGCTGGGGACCAGCAGTTCCCGTGGCAGGCGCTGGTGCGCATGGACAGCAACTTCGCATGCGGAGGGTCCATCCTAAGCGCAAGCTGGATACTGACTGCCGCCCAGTGCGTCCGCGGGTACGTACGGAGGGGTGCGGGGACAGCCAGACGAACCTGGAGAGCGACTGGTGACTTCGGGTCCAACTCGCTTAAGTTTAAATGGCTTCAGTGTTCACTAATTCGAACACACGCTCCCCAGGTTCTCCCGCTTCTCGGTCATGGTTGGCAGCACGTATGCTTCTTATCAGTACAGCGAACAAAACAAATGGCAGGAGATCGGTTCCCGTCAAGCCATCTATCACGAAGATTTCAACAACAGCTCCTACCTGAGCAACGACATCGGCCTCATCCAACTCAGCTCACCTATCACGTGGACCGGTACGTTTCTTTTTATTTTGGACTTTTAAAGGAGAGAACTTTGTCGACACTTTACATGCAGTTTGTAAAGTAGAAGTCTAAAATGTTTCGGCCCACGCATCGCATTCTACTGGTGAGGTTAGGCTGCCATTGGGTCTGCGAAGCTGATCTTACGACACTGACATCAGGAGTAACGAGACCGTGCAAAATAAACCTCACCGCACCGACTCCACCATAGGCAACAAGGCAACACATCCAACTTCCGTCACTCTCTTGCATCCGCTAACTGCGCATTTTCCTTTTGAAATTTCCCCACAGCTTACACCAGTCCCATCCCCCTGCCCTCGCTTGACGCCTCCAACACGTTCTCCGGATGGCCGACAACGCTAAGCGGATTCGGTTCCTACGGCACGAATGGTGAGTAAGAGGGCGCACAAGTTGGGGTTGCCCGTTAAAGCTGCCCGTTAGCTCTAGCTCTAGTTTTATCCTCTGATCTCTGTCCGAAGGGTGGGCACTCAGCAATCGACTCCGGTACGTCAATTTGGTCATAATGGACAACGATCAGTGCGCCGCGACGCTCGGCGACGACTCCATCAGGCCCACCAACATGTGCACTCCGGGCTCGCTTGACACACCGGTGGGCGCGTGCAACGTAAGTAGTGCAGTCTGGCAGTCTGGCCGAGCATCCAGGCCGCACGCGTAGGTCACGCCACGTACTTTTTCTAATTCCTCCTTTATACGTGTTTGACTTTCTGTGACCTTTGGCGACCCTCAGCAATATCACGATGTCACACGCGGTTTTAATACGAAAAACTGATTCTGCTGCGATAAACGCACACGGTTACACTGATAAACCAAGTGTTCAACTGCTCAACACTTGTAAGTGTGCAACCACAAGTTCAATACTTGCAAGTGTTCAATTCAGTAGTACAACTCTTCTGTTGTACACTTGTCTAGATCGGGCGCTTACTGTGAGGGAAGTGTTGAACAGAGGAGTTAAACACTTACAAGTGCACAAATACCGAGTTGAACACTTGCAAGTGTACTACTACTGAATTGAACACTTGCAAGTATTGAACTTGCGGTTGCACACTTACAAGTGTTGAGCAGTTGAACACTTGGTTTATCAGTGTAGATAAGTTTTAATTAAATGCATCTTGTGTACATGTGTACGAAACAATACTATCGTGAGTACAGCGCCTGCTACTCTGCATGGCCATAAATTGGCGCTACATCTGGCGTAGCTCTCATCTTCCGATCTTGCGGTAAAATTTACGAGAGCACATTTTCTACTCGCCAATGGATTTTAAGTCGATACGCACTGCATGTGTATTTGTCGATTGCAAATTGTAATTTTTAAAGTAGCGTCAAGGAAAATTTTCCAGTAAACTTTCCAACTATTTTTTTTTACAGTGGGATATGTCAATGTGTCTCTTTCTCTTTCCGCCGCAGGGAGACGCCGGCAGCCCTTTGGTCGTGCTACAGGGCTACGGCTTGGTGTATCAACAGGTGGGCATCGTCTCCTACAGCTCAATGAACGACTGCGGCAGCAAACCCACCGTCTTCACCCGCGTCACCCCCTACCTCGACTGGATCAGCAACCACACGGGCATCGTCTTCCCCGCGTAGACCAGCCCCAGCCTCCCGCCCCGGGACACTTACGCTGCGAGGTGCAAGAGCGTATGCGAGACCGGAACGCGTACAGGCCTAAACTGGTCTTAATATGTGCAAATTTTGTATCCACACGGGAAAAAGCATGAAACGAGCATATTGGTGTGAGTCGAAATGCTCAAAACAGTCTGAATGTTGGATTCCTCCAAAACAAATTGTTTTTTGATTACCGATATGCCCGACCGCCCCGTGCGAGCAGTGCGAGTATGTTGACGGTTGGCCGCACGTCTGCATACTGCAAGTATAATCAGAAGAAGGATTCCATACCAAGCCACCAGACGCCCGTACCACTTTGTTGGGGACTCAAGGGGAATCACCAGTGCAGACATGACATTGCCGAAAACGACATTTTTCTCACTTTTTTGTGTGTAGGTTACTGTGATATAGAATTAAATGATTTGCTAAGAAGGTGAACGGACATGTTATAAAGCCCTGCTGTCCCACTCACCAATATTTCGAGGCAAAATAATTTATTCATTTTTTTGTGTGAATCAGCATGCTTTGGGCGTAACTGACGGCCCCTCATGGGCGAATGCCACGGCCGCTGTCGACGGGATTAGGATGATCCTTCTCAGATACAACATTATAATTGATAAGAGGATCAGCACTGATAGCACAGCAGTCACAGCCCCATACTGACGCCAAGCCCCTTCACATACGATTTGTGTAACTTTGCTCACGCTCAATTTTGTAAAGTCCCATCGTTTATTGTTACGGGGCGGGTGTGGGCGTGGGCGAGGATGAGGCCGGCGTGGGCGCGGGTGTCGGCCCGGGGTAGCACGCCCAGTCCTCCGAGGTGCTCTTCTGGATCCAGTCCAGGTACGCCGGGACGCGCGTGTAGGCGCTGGGGTAGCCGAGGCTGCAGTCGACGTCGGACTGGAACGACGAGATGCCCACGAGCATCGGGTTGCCGTCGTCGCTGTTCGTGATGACGAGAGGGTCACCAGCGTCCCCCTGCAAGACCGCGACCAGGCCGGGGGGTTAACTCCGGTGTGTTGCGAGGAAGTCGTCGACCGTCGAGCGAATCAACGGCATGTCATCCCGCAAATTAAGTTAGACACCGACGACTAGTCGGCGTAAAGTTCTCTCTGCTGGTTGAGCTGGATGTGTTTCTGGTACTCACGCTGCATGTGCCGACACCTCCCTCTCCGTCGCCGCAGATGATGGTGCTCTTGACGTACTTGCCGAGGTAGCGCGCACACAGGCCGTTGTCGAGGATGGGCTGCTCGGCGTAGAGCAGGTCGGTCGAGGGAAATCCAGCTGGTTCAGATCAGAATCGTCAGTACGTCGTCAACAAGGAAAGTACACAAAGGAAAAACTATTGTATAAGATATGAGCGTAAAAAGGGGGAAAGAAAGTTGAAAATAGAAAAAAAGAGAGAAATGAACGAAAGAAAAAACAACCGCGTGCACTTACTCTCAGACATCCCGAAGCCGGATACGGTGCCTGCAGCTCCGACAAACAGCTCGCTGGCCTGGGACTGTGAAGGCAGGTTTACGAACCTAAGATTCTCTGGAAATAACAAATGATGTGTCATAGCGTTAGGGTCTTTGCGAATGCCATCGGCACCATCAACACTCCACGGCCCACTTCGAGATTCTGACCTGAAAACGTGACGGAGTACAGGAGCTCGATAATGCCGATGTCGTTTAAGTGGGTCTCCTCCTCGTAGTCCTCGTGCCAGCAGCTCTTGTACGTGTAGGCGTACGCAAAGGATTCGGAGCCCTGGTAGGTGTGGACGTCACCCAAAGTAACGAGGAACCGGGCGTACCTGATTAACACGACGTTCCGCGTATCAATAAGCTTGTGGCGGGATAATCAAAGATATTCAATAGAGCATTCCTCTGGAACTTGAGACCGGAAACAAAAACCCGCACACAGCAAAGGGAAGAAAAGATATGATGAATCAATAAAATCGGTCTGGGTTCGCGATGTTGTCCTCGACGTTGACGTCGACCTGGCCGACTCACCCGCTGGCGCACTGCGCGGCGGTGAGGATGTGCTTGTCGGAGATGAGCGCGCCGCCGCAGACCCAGGTGTCGTCCATGACGATGTTGGCCATCCAGGGGAACTGGCCGACCGCGGCCACCTTGCCGCCCTCGATGCCGACCCGCGAGCTTGCCGGGGCTGGGCCGACGGGGCCGGCAGGGCTCTGCAGCGCGGGAACCCGCGCGAGCTTCGACCGGAGCGACTGCGGGAGGAGGGAAGAGTAGTAGGGAATGAAAAATATGGAAACTCCAGAGGAAAACGTTCGGCGAAAATTAGAGAGAAAAAATATTTTA